GAGCTGTGCTAAAACTGAAGATTAGCTTTTTAAAATTTAGTTAATTAGGTTTAACTGTAGAGTGACGTGAAGATGCTACAACCAGCGTTTTTACACTAACAGTAGGCAAACTGACTGTGTGTAATGCAACATGGGTTAAAAGTAGTAAAAAACCCACAATTACCACCCAAGTCCAGCTTCACTGATTGTTTTACTGTGTTAGTTAGTGACCCTCAGCTTTTATTTGTTCCGACAGGATTGAAAATAATGTCCGATTTCCACATTCCCAAACAGTGACGACCTTGTTTTATGATTCTATTTCATCTGTTGTGTCTTTTGGTGTCACGCTTTGAAACACGTATCCTCTCAAAGAAGAGAAACTCACGGCATCAGCTGAGTAAACAGTCTTGTGGGCTGTTCGGTGAGTCACAGCTTGACCCAGCGAGCACGCCGCACAGCTCCAGCTCAGTTCTAATGGACAGCTTCAATGCACAGCCAGTTTCAGCTTCTCTCAGACGAACAACTCGTAGCCACATTGCACGGAGGAAACCGAAGCAGTTGTTCTTCATTTTCTGTTCGGTTTTTAGGGGTTTCAGGGATGATTGGAACCTTGACTGCTGTCTACTGTCTTTGTCATCCATGTTTCCTAATTCACAATCTCAACCAAATTCAGAATTATTCCCACGTACGTCCCACTTACATTGCAGCAAATCGGCAAGAAATGTAGTTTTTATGAATGTCAGACTAGAACAGCATGTTCCTGCAGTGTCTGGCTAAATCTAATCCAAGGTTTCTTGTCCTTGTTTGTTTCTGTACAAATTGATCTTTCCCTACACAATGAAAAGAACAAATTGCTGTTTTTAAAAATACAGATTTTGATGTGGACATTGTGTGCCGTGTTGGACAGTTTTACTTTTTCTTTTTTTTAATATTTCAAAGTCTAAATGTAACTTGTCTTTTTCCCTGTAAACTGTTAAAACAAAATCTGTTAATTTATAAATTGAAGTGTCGCATTAAACTGACGATTGTCTTCCGCACCACATGACCAAATCATTGAATGAATAACTATAACATGTCGGTGTGAAGCTGACACAGGTGGCGCTCAGATGCCAGCAGCCGTCTATTAATCAGAGTTTGTGTTTGCAGGCTCATTCCTTCTGAACCACGGTGCAGCCTACTTGGCGCTGCTGTCTCCAGCCCAAACACATTCCAGTTAAAGAGCAGACATTGTGGTGCACACGAATCCTCAGGCGCTCTCCAAAGTCCTTCAGTGAGTCCAACACAGTCGCTCATTCACCCAAACGTCGGCTCGCTCACTGGCTGCAGCAAACCAAACTGCTAAGTAACGCTCTGCTCTCACTTCCTCTCCCTCCTTATGCTCAGATTTCATTGATATTTGCTCTATTTTTCCCATTCTGTGTTTCCTGGTTCCTCCCTCTCCTTTGTTTCTACCTTTGTTTGTTTGTTTACTTGTTTCTTCCTCTCAGCAAGCACACTTCTAAAAATACCTGTTCTCATCTGCAGGTGCTATAATTTCACATGTGTGTGTGTGATTATAAATGCAGTGTGTACTGACTGGTTGTTTGTGAGGCAGTAATCAGGGAGCTGAAGAACGAGAGCCGACAGCCACTGGCCCACTCATGGTGTCCTGAGGATGGTGGAGATGGCGGTTAGTTAATATCAGTGCTATCCAGATCTTAGCGCTGTGTTAGGTGTGTTTAAGTATGTCCTCGTGCATGTGTGTAAGAGTCCTCAGCACCAAGACAACAAGTAGGGCAGCAGTAGTTCATGAATAAAAACAACTGCAGCTGCTGTACAGTCCAACACAGTCTGGTTGGAGGAGCTGCACCAGCTGATGCTACTCATGCACTGTGCATCATATGATGTTCACAGCCTGTTTACACAAAGTTTTATTATCAGCAAGGCTGCAACTAGCAAGAGTGGCAACAGTTATTTGAATCAGGGCTCCAGACTGCGACCATTTTGGTCACATTTGCGACCTCCTTTTGAGAATGTGTGAGTCGGAATTTCATTGGTGCGAGTGCAGCGCCTCCAGAGCTGGACTTGGGAGCTCTGTTCTGAGGAGCTTCTACCACTGTGGGGTGGAGACCGTCCTCTGCACCTGCATCACCGTGTGGCACGGCAGCTGCACGGCTGCTGAGAAGACGACTCTGCAGAGGGTGGTAACGGCTGCACAGAGGACTGTACGGAGCAGCCTTCCCATCATATCAGACCTCTGCTCATCACAATGCAGGGGAAGGGCTCTCCGCATCATGAAGGACTCCAACCACAGACTGTTTCAGCCCGTCCCCTCAGGCAGGCGGCTCAGGAGCATCCAGAACAAAACCACCAGGCTCAGAAACAGCTTCTTCCCTGAAGCTGTCAGACTGCTGAACTCGAGCCGTGCTCTGTAGACTCACGCCACCATCACACACGGGCTGCACCAACTGCACTTTATCCATATATGTGCAATACTTCTCCACCAAGTGCAATATCACAACTGACTTCGCTGCTTATATTTTGCTCTTGTTTTCTTGTACTTATTATTTATTAAGCTTTTCCTTAAAAAAAAAACGTGACCTGAGTCCAAATTTCATAACACTAACATGTGAATGTGAGCTGGCATGACAAATAAAGGTCCTTGAATCCTTGAATGATGATCATGAAGCTGTTTTAGTGTCGCTGTAACCGATGCAGGCAGCTGCTGTGTTAACCACAGCGGTGGAAAGTAGTAGTTTTATAACTGGACTGCTGTATTAATGCATAAAAATTTGATCATCTCATGAAAAATGGAGCGAAAAAGTTGGTCTGGAGCCCTGTGAATAATCAATGAGTCATCCTAAAGAAAATAATCCACTAATTCACAACAAGCGGTCGACACCATGGCTGAACAGAAACAAGTTATTTTCATGTAAATAAAAAAAATAAATAAAAAACTAACTCTGATACACAGAGATCAAAAAACAGAACAGGACTTTAAGGGGTTAAAACTGTCACCTTAGTGCACCAGGAGACTGCGATGGGTCTCTAATGGTTTATGAACCAAAGGTAATAAATGGATGGAAATAATAAACAACAAATTAACTGAAAAAAAAAAAAACAGTCTTTAGTTTAATAGTGTTCAATTACCTCATGGCTTTGATTCTTTTATTCAAAATCAGAAATCGCTGACATCCTCACATTATTTATTTTGTCTGAACAACAGTTGAAAAATAAAAATTAAAAACAGCTAATTAACAAATCTGAGAAGCAGAAACCGCTGAACATTTCTGCAGCTTTAATAAATGAAGACAGTTAATTAATTTTCAGTCAGCTGAGTTACTGGTTCATCATCATTGGAGCAAACAGTGGCTGGATTTTCTAGACTCCACACTCTGGATCAGGATTGTTTAGTTACCTTGAATCAAACTGTTGAGGGATAAAACAGAACAGCGCTCAGGTCTACCTGAAGTGGCACTACGCCGTGACTCATAAAATGCATCACGGCCAGGAGTGATTAGATTGCTGATCCTGTTATTATATTGTTGAATGTGATATTCGGTGACGGATGACTCATCTGCTGGCCACCGCTGTCTGAATTCAGAGACGATAATGCTGCAGTTAGAGAGATCAGTCGACTCGCAGCCTTTCAGCCCGGCGCCATTAGCTCCTGGTGAGGGTTTTCCACGACGTGGGACGTAAGCACATGTTCCGGTGTAGTATAAAGTATAGACGCAGGGCATTTGTGTCCACTCCTGACTGTTTTGCCTCCCTACAAGCTGGTCAATCAGCAGAGTCTGGGTACGATTTTGAAATATCATCATGTTGTTTATGTATGTCCAATCACTGGTCGTCTTTGTCACTTGATTACTGAAGCATTATGGAGGTTAAATGCCAGCATACTGGCTGAATATGGCGCCAGGGAAAGTGAATATTCCACATAAAAACAATGAAATATCAATTAAATTAAGTTCTTTTGTCTTTCTGAGTACAAAGTGGTTTACATAAAACACATTTAAAAAATGAATGCCATTTGTATGCAGCCACCACACAGAAACAAAACCGAGAGCTCTCTACTGCCCAACTCTTACCTGCATTATTAAAAGCCAAAGTGGGGCTGCATCAGCAGTAATTACTCTCTTGAATGTCTGATAGTCCACTTACCTGAGCAGGAGAGTAGAGCCGGCATCGATGGTGTGCGTGTCCCTCGTGAGCGCCGCCGCCTCCTCCGTCTCGCAGCGGTGCCATCATGCCTCCACTTGGACCCCCGACCGTCCCGGCTGTAATTGCACCAGCCGCCGCGCCGCCCACGCCCGCCGCGCCCGCCGCGCCACCCGTGGCCCCGGCGATGGCTCCGATGCCCCCCATCATGCAGCAGAGGCCTCCCTGAGCCAGCTCCAGCTCAATCTCGGCGTCCATCTCGGCGTCCTCCTGCGCCTCCTTGTTGGAGTCGTCCAGGTGCTTCATGAGCACGGCCACCACCACGTTTATCAGGACGAACTGAGCCGTGAGCACGAAGGACACGAAGTACATCGGGGAGATGAACTGCAGCCCGGCGTGGCAGCCGTAGTCGGTGCCTGGGTGGACCGGTGGGCACTCTCTCAGGGTGTCCTGGTGGGTGGCGGGGGGTTCAGAAAGAGAAAACAGAAATGAAAGCAACAGAAGAACAGAGGAAGAGGGGATGGATGGAATGTGGAAGAGTGAGAATTTGGGGAGATGGAAGAGTTTCAGATTAAGTCAATCAGATTAGGAGGAACTAATAATATAATACAGATTATAATTGCAGGGAAAAGTTATTTCCAAAATCATTTCATCTGATTAATTTTCCCAAAAAATTGCTTTCTGATCAAAACAGTATCACAAAGTCATTCTAATTATTTACAATGACAAAAAACATGCACCTGAGAAGCTAAATCTACCAAACAATAAACACATAATCACTACATTACCAAAGCTTTGTTAACGGATTGAGTCAACGAAGCAACTGATTGATTGACCAACTGTTTTAATGCCTATAGAATATTATCATAAAACCACATTTAGATTTGGGATGAGTAATGCAAAGAGCAAAATCCAGTATCTCCAGACTTTAATCTAAATATAATGTAAAGGAAACTCTTTTCTCCACGTCTTGAACTCGTTCCCGAAGCAATTTGCAACGTCTCCACAGCTCACATAATCAAGCTTTCACGGTCCCGAAATCTGCATTTCAGCCACAGTCATCCACTCTTTGTAAGAGTCTAATCAGCACTGATGAACTGTCAGATACGAGCTGCTATAAATGTGTAAGAGCTCCAGGTACTTGGGTGTGACTGCAGAATGAAGCCTGATTTGAGTGATAGATGAGAGTGAAGCCTGAGATCAAATACTCACATTTTCTGAATGTAAATTTTATTTTTTTAATCTTCATTCATCCTCTGCAGGTTTTGAGCGCACGTTTACTTTTTTTCAGCGTCATCTCTGCCAAAGGCCACATTCATTTCTCACTCATTTCCACCACCAAATACAGTCTGATCCACAGTTTTGAACTAAAGACCTTCAATTATAGTTCTGCCTCTCAACTTCATCTGTGCTGAGATTGGTGTAAAATATATTTGGACAGCTTTAAAAGTAGAAAAAAAAAATGGCGCTATGTATTTCTTGATTCTCAAGTGGAGCTGTTTCAGACGCCCCCCGTCCTGATTGAGCCTTATGTGTGACAATCAGTGCTGGCTGTAGTTTTGGGGACACAGGAGGAAAGTAAGAATATAAACAAACTGGTTGATTGTATAAATGATGTCATGTTTAGCTCTCATGTTGCCCTGAGGCCCACCGGCTACCACTGACCACTACTAGTCAAAGCAATCTTTATTATAGTCGTGTTTTGTGTTATACATCACACACACAACAGAAGCCCAGAGAGTGTGCTAAAATATTCACTATAATTAATTATCACCATTTCTTGATTGTATGTCTATGTCAAGGCTGAATATACTGAAGCTCAGTCTGAGAAATACAGTCGTGACTCGATAATCCGACACTAAATGTAAAACCTTCTTTGATGTCGGATAGCAAGGCTGTCGGATTGTCAAGACGGAGGTCGAGATACAAGGAGGGCTTGATGCTGGAAGGCTCATATGTTGTTAGTATTTATTGTTCATAGTTGTTATAATAACTAGTGTATTGTTAGAATACTACGCATCGCTGGATTTCACGCCTAATTGAACGGTGCGCTTGTGCACGTTCCGGGCACTTCCACCCCGTTGGAGTGCATCCCCGGGGAGGAAGTGGCCGGAACACACAGGCAGTACTTGGCTGCTGATGCCAGTTTAGTTAGTGGTCACAGTTCTGCTTCCACCATCACTAGCCAATCAACCATATATTTGATGAGGGTGGGACTAACCTAGAAAATGCAGGAGAAGTTTCAAACATTAAGGTGCCTAAACATAACCAAACAACGAGTGAACACTGAACTAAAGAATAATTCAGATCTTGGTCTACTGGCTGAAAGTCACGTTGCTGCTTTATGTCTTTATGTTTTTCTCAAAGCAGAAGTTTAGTTGTGAAGGAATTTTTGTGAAAGTTTGTTTATTTATATCTACATGTTAATTCTGCATCATCATGTGTTGCATGGATGAGCCTCTGAGCTCTCACTGCACCTTATATCTTCCCCCTGCCCTTCCAGTATTACCAATACCAGCCTGTGATGTGTGTTTCCACTGCAAAGACGCTCAATGGGATGGGTCTGGAGTTGGCAATATCAGGGTCTGGTTAAATTCTTGCCTGGCAGCTTTGTTTGTGTTGCTGTTTTCCTTCCAAATTTAGCATCCAGCCATTGAACTGCCATCGAAGCGACAGCCATGTATAGACAGTCTGGGTGTCTGATCAGCACAACGCTGCTCAGTGGGGACGCACCTTCATGATGCCGTTCCAGTTGTCACCGGTTGAAACTTGGAAGAGTGTAAGAAAGGCCATTCCGAAGTTTTCAAAAGTAGCGTGGCGGCTCATTCCCTCACAGGGGTAGTCGGCATTACACACTGAGAGGAGACATGATGAGAGGAAAGAAGAGAGTGAAACCTGCTTCTGTTTGAGTGAGAAATAAAAAAAAACAAGCCAGGTGGTACTAACAAGGATTATATTGGCTCTGTACGAACCTGTCTTTCAGTCAAAAGGGAAAGAAATGACGCCAAGAGGGAAGCCAACACAAATCCCTGTACTTTGTTTCCATGCTGGTGATTATTACTATTACACTTCTACATAATGACACAGTAGAGAGGCCAACCTTTTATTTGACCAAACAAAAACAGGAAAGCTCCATTTAATTTGGCACTGCAGTGTGCCACGGCAAACAGGCCCCGGTGGCTACTGAAAAAACACAAGTTAAAGCCGCCTCATAAGCCAGTGATGGTTTAACTATTAGCAAAAGTGTTTAATAAGAGCATAAATTCAGCAGGACCGACCTAGCTCTCCAAACAGCTCCACTCCCAGAGCAGCATAGATGAAAAACAGCAACATGAAGAGCAGGCCCAGGTTCCCCACCTGTCACACAGGAAGGAGAATTCAGGTTACATTAAATTTTATTTATATTAAACACAACAAAAGTCTAAAAAACGTGCTGAACACACAATATAAAACAATTTAAAACATCTAAGATACAAAATACAATAACATTATAATAAAACACAGAACAATAAGAACAGTGAAAACAATAAAACAGGAGTCTCGTGCCGGGTCGAAGGCCAGGGCATAAAAATGAGCTTCCAGACGGGTTTTAAAAATGGACAGTGACGGTGCTTCTCTAATGAGCAGCAGAGCCTTGGAGCTGCGACTGCAAAGGCTCGGTCCCCTCTGAACTTTCACCGAGACCTCGGAACCTCCAGACGCAGCTGATCAGCTGATCTGAGGCACCGGGCTGGTGAATAGAGAGGAATCAGCTTAGAGAGGTACTGTGGAGCGAGACCATGTAAGGATTTAAAAACAAATAAAAAGAATCTTAAAGTGAACTCTAAAATGTGCAGGTAGCCAGTGAAGCGAAGCTAAAATGGGTGTAATGTGTCTGTTACGTGCTCCAACCAGGAGACGAGCAGCAGCGTTTAGGACTAGAGACGACTGGCTGACTCCATTCATCTACGAGATTAAATTATGGGTATCTGTGAAGATTCTCAGTCATCCAGGTCGTGGTTATCCTGGTAGATTAATCCTAGCAACTGGACTTGCTTGGGTTCCTTGAAGACGTTCCACCTCTCATCCAAGAGGCTTCATCGGTTCTGACTGACTCGTTGGGACCAACCACTCCATAAGCGCATGGCTCAGCACAGAAGAGCCACCTCCTCAGGTTCAGGACTCAGCAGTCCACCTGCATCTCAAGGACAAAGGACACTACTTTGAAGACAGCAATGTACAGATTTTGGTCAGGGAGGACAGATGGTTTGAGAGAGGGGTGAAAGAAGTCGTCTATGTCAAACTGGAAAGACCATCTCTCAACAGAGGTGGAGGTCTGAGGCAACATCTCTCACCTGTTTACAATTCAGTCCTAAGATCTCTCCCCAGGAAGGTGAAACCACATCCACACCTATAGCCACAAAAGACCCTAATGAACCCCTTTGTGGCAGGGGGAGCACTAACGACTCACATAATGGAGGGGAGGAGCAACAAACCCCCAATTGAAACCAGGTGTTAATGGCTCCTTAAGGATATAAGTATGTGGAACTCCCAACTAGTCAGTCAGAACTGATGAAGCCTCGTGGATGAGAGGTGGAACGTCTTCAAGGAAGCAAGTCCAGTTGCTACGATTAATCTACCAGAATAAATTATGTGTACATCTGCAGTTTTTGCCCACATCATACATGTGTACTGTTGTCATGTTTAGTATTCCTGACAGCAGAAAGTGAAAGTTCAGTTTGTATCTTTTGTCATTGTCCACGAAGCATCTAACAAAGCGTGCACAGTGATAAACAAACTGCAATAGTGTCCTCATTTATCTTCTTTTCATGCTGTTGACAGCATTAACTGAATCTATTTGGAGACAAGATGCAGATATCAGTGCAGATGTTACAAACTACTGCCAGTGAAGCTGTTAAACAATTGATGGTGCTGCTGGACTCCCTCACTGTGTTGCTCGCCCAGCTGGATGGTCGACACTCTGGACAGGAAGCCGAAGCTTTTCATAAAATATGAAAACAGACTTAACGCTCATGAATTTTTAAAACGCTGCATTAGGCTTTCAAACTGTCCTGAAACCAAACAGGCACATCCAGGATTTGGCAAACGTTTCATCAGATCAGGAACGGCTGCAAACAACCAAACTAAAGGTTAACATAAAGCAACCGCCCTGCCTGGAATCAAAGATAATCACTCAATTACACAATTTAGGGATTTTTTTTCCTACGTGCTGACTTCGTAACAGGTGCAAATCCATCCGTGTAGAAACTTAAAGTGTTCACAAATGGTGATATGCAATGCAAATGGGTAGAGAACCCCCTGGGGCGCAATAGCAGGCGCTAGCAGCACACCATTAGCTTAGTCACTTCACAGGGAAGGCAGCGGGGTGTTTTAGAATACGTGACTGTAGAATTCTATTAGATAGCCAAATAAACTGAGAGCGGCTGGGGATAGAAGAAGATGCATAGTTTTTATTAGAGGAGCGGGTGACGGGGGAGAGAGACGGGAGATAATGAGGGAAGGAGGGAAATTAGGAGAGGTTAGGCGAAGCCTGAGGATTCTTTTCCTTTCCTCCCCAGTTGTGCATCATGATGCTTCCTGGTGGATATTAAAAGCAATGACTTGGCCTGAGGCAGTTTGCAGCATGTAACTTAAACCCATCTGATGTCTTTAGATCCCTCGAGCAGAGAATGAAAGCACACCACAGGGTGAGGATGCTGTGCTATGAGAAACTGATTGCTGGATGCCGTGGAGGCAGTAATGTTGGCAACGAGGTAAGTGATGCTGTGAGAAACTCAGTTACGGCACAGTTTGTTATTTATACCTTTTGGTTTCCATGGCGAAGCAACCTGCATTGATGTGCAAACTTTTAGAACTATTTACAGGAAATGTTTTTTTCTTGTAATAGACTAATGAAACCTGGAGTCAGTCGTCTGCGTCATGATAGGAAATTATTTTGTTTTTGTTACAACTGCATACATTTTTTTTTTAACCGTATTGTCACGCTGACACATGACGGCTCATTCCTACCACTTCAAACTCCAGAGGAACCACCAGACAAAATGGTACACATGTTTTAAATTCAAAGCTCATCTGGTAATTCAGTGCTTCATGATTCATTGTGTTTTGTCCTATTCCATGAGTCACTTTAGATTTTAAAGAAGCGACGACATGAAATACGCTAAGATGTGCATCAGCGTTGACAGAAATCTATTTTTCATTTTAATCTCGTCACAATGCCTCGTGTTTGTGTGTATTAGTGCTAACAGCAACCTTGTTGTGTTCTAAGTCTCTGCCACAAAAACAAGAGGGACTGGAGAGAAAACAAGTTAAAGTGGATGGAGAAAGGACTATCGATGTGAGGCGCAGCTGAAGCGATGTGTTTATTTGCCTTAATGTGGATCTCTGTGTGACTGTGTGTGAACATATTTTTCAAGCAAAACATCAGGGAGAAAAAAAAAAAACAGTCCCCCAGAGGGCCAAGTCAGAGCATTGATAAGGCACCAGAACGAGAAAAAATAAAAAATCGACTTCTGACTCGTCTCGCTCCGTTACAAATGGCTTTAATAAAGAGCTGTTTTGAAGAGAGCAGCCAGTCCAGATTCTGTATTTTTTCTTTTTTCTTTGCATTAATAAAGGAAATATAGATGTAGATGTTAGGGAAAGGTAAACAACCACATTACTGCAGTTAATACTTCTCTTATTCTTATATGTGACAAAAAGATATATTACACTCCAGAGCGGACGCAGAAGATGAATAATGACACGTCAAATCGTCTTGGCACTGTAAGAAAAGTGGGAGCTTTTTGTACATTTGGTTCTGACCTTGAAAATCTCATATATTTTATCTCTGTATGGATATATTTTTAAATCCTCTACGCCACTCCTCCACCTCCATTACTATTACAGTGCCTATAAAAAAAGGGGTTGACCTCGTTGGGAAGTTTTCCTTTTTTATGACTTTTCAACGTTGAATCATGGTCAATTTAATTTGGCTTTTTGGACGTTAATTTACAAAAAAAAGTCTGTCAAAGTGAACGCAGACTTTCACAAAGAAGTGTCGATTACTAAAACATATTAAATGTAAAATAGCTAATAAAATTCATATTTAATCTCAACTGGATTTCACCTGAAGGCATGTGGGCGGCTCTGAAGTCTGCTGAAAGAAGGTTTTTTTTTGGTTTTGATGGGATAAAATTGCGCTTTTTGGCCTCAAGCTATGATGTACGCTGCACATTACCATGAACACATCATCCCAGAATGGTGAAAATAGTCCCCAGTCAATTCAGCATTTGCTCCTGTTTAAGAAACTAAAACCAGTGCCCTGATGTGTCACAAAAACATATCGCCTGATTTAAAAAATAAAAATACACAAAAAGCAAAACATTTTTAAAGATTTAAGTCTTCAGTCACAGTTGGTTTTGGCCTTTTGTGAGATTTGTTGACAATAACGAAAACGTCGTATGTCGGCAACCTTATCCTTTAAAGATATTTTTTGGCTTTAGAGAGGAAAGTAGGGGGAGAAGAATGGGGGAAGGACTTGCAGCAAAGGGTCATGAGCGGGACTCGAACCCATGAGCGCTGCGCCGTCGGGGACTGTATGTGAGGGTTATGGAGTTTGTTTTGTGTTTTTGGTTTTTCTCTGCCTCCTGTGTCTGTGTTTGTGGTGGGCGTGTGGTTGGGCAGAGCCAAATTGGAGACGACATTCTCGCGCTGGCAGCTGTGACTCATCAGCTCATCAGCATAGCACCTGAAATACAAGCGTCTCACAGAACTCCAGCGCCAGATGATTGTGATGCATCCCTAGTGCTACAGTCAGGCCGCTTAGCTGCTACACTTTGTTGAGCCTCTAGCTAAGTTTGTGTAGTTTCGAGTAATTCGTGTTTTCTCTGTGTGCCTCCAGCGTCCCTCTTCGGCTCCAGCCTCAAGCGCTCCACTTGCCACGCCAGCCTTATCACCCACCAGCCTCACTATCCACAGCTACGAGCACCCTCACGAGAAGTACCCCTCTGCGAGCACCTACACCGGGAAAAAACCTCCACCGGGAAGGATAAACCAGGAGCACTGTCCCCTGAGCACCGTTCCTGCACGCCTCGTCCTCGGTATCCTCCTCCATGCCTCCCTCCCCAGCACAACCTCGCCGACACTCCCCTCCGGACCTCCGCACAGACGACCCCCTGTTGCGGTGGTTGTATCAGGCGGTTTAGTAGCGAAAAATGATCCCACAGTGAGTAAAAAAATACGAGAGGAGCAAAAAAACCCACCCAGAGTCAGATTTCAGAGTTAAAGAAAACCCAAGGATCAATCAGGAAACTGAACTAAAGACGTACCATTATCAATCTGATGAAACCCAATCTTAATCTGTCTTTACTATTAAACACACTCATTCCAGGCATATACAACTCCAACTGCTCTGCAGTTTGCTGAAGTTGTTTCCACTTAGAACAACTTTACCTCCACAATGGTAAACATCTATCTGCAGAGCTCATCTAATGGAAGTAATGATTAAAACAACCTCTACAAGACATTCTGGTGCTTCCCCTGTAATGCAGAGGGTACACTATAGATCTCCAGACGTTTACTTAATTCCTCGAGAGTTGTTGAACTTTCTTCGACTCCCTGCTTGTAAAAGCAAATCTCTAAATACGACGGTGACTCCAGGACAAGCACAACTCTTTGATATGCATAAATATGAGCAAAGGCTTGAGAACAGAAAGTCTTTTTGTGCACCGAGGGAGCAGAATATTTCAGCTGCTTTTGTCTCATTAACAGCGGTGAGAATGAAAAATCTTAAATTAATGCCGCAAAGGTCTTTATTTTTCCCAATAACAGAGAGGAGCAGTGGAAAGTTAGCAGAGTGTCGTAACACCGAGGCCAGAAATTTGCCATAACCTGACTTCCTAAAAGCCTTAATTCTCAGGGAGCGTTTATCGACGCTGCTCGTTTATCATTTCACAAATGTTAATTAACTCCTCGGTGTCCTTGTGATAAGCTCAGGGAGAGTGTGTGTGTGAGAGTGTGTGTGTGTGTGTGTGTGTGTGTGTGTGATGACACATACCTGAGGCAGAGCCTGGACCACTGTATCGAGCAGAGCTCTCATCCCGGTTGCCATTTTCAACAACTTCAACACTGAGAAGAGATCACACAGGGCGACACAAATGTAGTCTCTGCACAAGCTGTAGAACTTTATTTATTTGTGTGTGATGCTTTGGACATGTGCGTTCCTGCTGATAAACAACCGATAACGGCGAGAGAGTGAAAGAAAGTAGAACAAAGGTCAGACGAGACAAAAGACACGGCGGTGATGGAAGCGAGCAGTCCAGACAGATAAGAGGTGTACCGAGACCGAGGAGGAGAGAGATAACAAACGATCGATACGTGGAATTCCCAACTCTTCATAAGAGACCATCCACAATTCCCAGCGGTCCAATTTCTGGAGGAACAAGGCTGATCATGCAGCCAGTAGTAGGGAGAAAAAAAAAAAACGTAGCATATTCTGTCAGAAAATATAGTCCCCAGAGAGTCGGACGTCTTTTCATATGGTTAATAGGGAGGATATAGGAGAGAGAAGGTGGATGTGGTGCTCTTCTAGCTTAACCTAACTTAGCAAATCTGTAAACTTACGGTATTAGTTTAGCTCCAAATAACAAATGTCTGTTCTGACTCGGTTCTTTCCCTGTCGGTTGGGAGGAGTTGCTGCTCTAAGCAAAGGTGTGTAAGTATCACGGGATCTTGCTCACAAGTGATGGGAAAATGGAGCATGAGATGAGTGATGGGGGCAGCATCGGTAGCCATGTGGGCATCATACCAGACAGCCAGAAGGTGAAGCTCTCAACTTACCGGTGGATCTACGTACAAACCATCATCTGTGGCCAATGAGTAGTGACCATAACAATGACACTGTGAATACAAGGGACCAAAATGGGTTTTCTCTTTATCGTGGCTGGTCTTAGGGATAGAGGGAGGATCCTCCAATTCTGCTGAAGAGGCTCCGACATTTGATTAGGATACCTTCTGGGCACCTTCCTTTGGTGTATCTAACTTGGGGGGGACCCTGTGGTAGACCCAGACTTCACTGTAGGAATTATATATCTCATCTGGCCTGTGAGCAACTTCTGGGGGATGTTTTGAATGCCCCGCTTAGCCGGCTACCACCACGATCCAACCCGGGTAAGCAAAAGTCAATGGATAGGTGGATGTTGAAATGAACGCTATTGCTAAAAGCTTTGCAGCAAACTAGCATAAGCTAATGCTAACACTAAAACCGGTGCTAAGGGGCAGAAAAGCAGGCGCATTCTAAAGCAACACACAGAGACCCTTCCTCACAATTGTAGATCTGGTAGGAGGACATTTCAGAAGACGGTCATCATAAAACGTCTACAATGGAACAAACAAGTCGAACACTACTCGGATGTTATTCACCGTGACCTTTTGACCTTCTTTTCCTTTAACACCCAGAACTTTCCACATGAAGTGAGCAGTTTTAAATCCTTAAATTGAAGAAATCTAATCTAATCTACTGGAGCACTGATCCCAACATCTGGACGCGGTCTACATTCCAGGTCGTCAGGACCAGTATTAAAGAAGAACACATCACATCTGAAGTGTTTGTGGAGAAGCACACAAACACCTGCCTTCTCTCTGCCACAGCCATAAAGACAGAGAGAGACACTTTATTACAAGCACATATATTTATAAAGTCTTATTTTTATAATTATTAATTGCATATGTTCTTAGTTATAGAATTTATTTTCTTTCATATCCTGAAATTCCACAGCTTGTATGCATGTTTTAAATTATCTCAGGAATTACAAGAGATGAACATATCTGCTACCCAGCAGATAAACTATCTAAACATAAATATGTATCACATTTACCAGCTGAAAGCGAAAAACACTTTAATGCGTCAATAATCACAATCCATTTATATTTAAAAACTTATTCAGAAATATGCCAGTCTGCAAAATAAGCACTTTCCCCTGTGGGACCTTATTGGTGGGTTTTGATGCTAACGGTTTTGTAATTTATTGAAATAAAAATTTAAATCCATGCATTATATCGTAGCACAAAAAAACATATACAAACAATGTATTATTTGTTTGCACATAATTGTTTGAAAGCTTACTTTATAAAAACATAATTGGATAACCAACAGGGTGCCTGGATCCAATTTTAAAAGATCATTCTTTACGTTTAAGATTAAAAACACAACAACATGCGATGATTAAAGATATCCAACCGGCATGTCTGACTCGTTTCCTTTGTTCCATGCATAGCTAAAGGTAAAGCTACATGGATGAAGTGTGGACGGTTGTGAAACACTTCGATGTTGTTTCCCACAGTCACACAATGTTAACATTCATACAGAGTGGTAAAAATGTTATGAGAGGAGAGGAACCAGTAGCCCTCACACTCATCATCAAATACCCCACTTGGTTCTTAATTACCACTGGCTGCTGTTTAATTAGCATATTACCCATGGGTCCACTCAGCGGTCCCTGAGCAGTATTATGGAGGGCAGAGGGCGATGTTAAGAGGGCGAGGATTAAGTGAGATTGATGTAATTAGCCTTTATCCTCGTCAGTATGAAGCTAACAAGAAGTGGGGCAGCTCATAAAGCTCGTCCCGCTATTTCCCATGCATAATAAGAACACAAATGAGAATCCTATCAAAAAGTGGCGTGTATGAAAGATGACAAAGAACAGCTGTACCTCTATCACGGGACAATTAAGACAATAATAGGACCGTACATGACACATGTACATGAGGGGTGAGATGAAATGTTAATATCTGGACTTCAAGTTAGCTAAAAATTAGATCACAGTCTAAAATGCGAAAAGAAAAGAGCAATAAATGCAAGACAACATCTTAAATATGATACAGTAGTGCTATGGAAATGTACAGCAGACAGAAAATAAACAGGACATCCTACTAAATTCACTAATCGTGGATATATTTGCGGTGGTGGTCAATAAAGACCCTAAACTACACGTTGACAGACTTCTTGAGTGTATGTACAGTTTGTGGTTTGCATGTACCTCGTGCGATCCTGAGCACCCTCATGATCCTGATGATAGTGGGGTTGATGGGAAGAGAGGCGTTGATCTCGATCTCCTCCAAGGTGATGCCCATTACCGACAGCAGCACAATGGCCAGGTCCAGCTGGTTCCACCTGCACACACACACAATGACTTTTAAATGAAGCAGCATCTACAGAAAGGGAAGACAGGCCTTAAACAGGTGAATGAGCATGAAGTCTGTACTCAGCGTGTGGTTTCAGACTTCATGCCTGCACACACCAGGCTCTGCATTATGTTAATTTTTTAATGAATATTAATGTTCGACACCAACTTTGTGAATAATGTGCAAGACTCTCCAACAACGGACTTGGCAGAAGAATGGCTAACAGCCCACCATTACCTGAAGGCCTGCTTCGGTCATATATATACTAGAAAAGTTGCAATACCAGGAAACACTTCAGAAACATTACACCCTGGATTTGTTGTGTTGTCTCTTGACAATTAACAAAGTGTATGTTGAATGTGATCCTGGCTGCTGCAACTGCTGCTAAAAGCATCTAACATAATAAGTGGTGTCACCTCATCCACTCCATCCAAGGACACAAATCGTGGCCCTGCTTCACTGTTGCTACCGATAATTCAAGTTCAACTAGTGTAGGTGTTTACAGTCAAGGTGAAGGTTAAGTTGACTTTATTGTTCCAATCAACAGCAGATGCGGGGTTATATGGGAGAGTTGTGTTTAAAATCCCTCTCTGGTTGTTGACTTACCTCCTAAAAGTTAATTGTCAAAAGAGTCGTCCAAAAAAAACCCAATCCCTTCCAGCATTAAACTGACTTAGGCCTTGGCCACATGTAGCAGGGTGTCTCACAAAACAAAGATATTTTTCTATGATTTGATCTGTCATCCACACGAAAACGCAGAAAAACAATTCTTTTAAAAACGTCCGACCAAAGTGAAGATTTGCGAATACTCCGTTTATGCGTCCGTGTGGGGACATCAATAACGGGGGTCGAAACGTCACTGTCTACGAAACAGCATCAAAATCAAATTAAGTTTCTTGTCATTTTGCTGTACATACACAGTAGTACAGGCGATATGAGAGAGCGTTTCTTCAGGATTATTCAACCAGCAAGCTTTGCGGAATTCACGCCTGGCATAAGACACTAAACGTTCACTCTCGCTGTCTCGTGAAGGGGTCGCTGCGTCTATGCACACCACAGTACAACAGCGTGGACGCCCTCACAAGTGTGTTGGCGTTGTTTCTGGTCCAGGCCCAGATACCGCTCCACGTACAAGAACACAGGCGAAGGACGACGTCAAGGACGGTTATTTTCCCGCCACCTTGCCATTCCACGTCCGAGGCACGTTCTCCGTCAAAGACGCTGGTTTTGGGTCAGACCACTGCCAGCTGGTGGGAGAACTTTGAGACGGAGGAATAGCGTGACGATTTCTGTATGTCCCGGTCGTCGCTCCTGTCGTCGGAGTTATTACATCCTCACGTAGAATATGAATGTGCTTAACGACACACTAATGCGGTTAGGTGTGGATGAATTATTTTTCTAAAAACGAGATGTTAGTTTTTTCTGGACGGAGGGGGGAGGACATTCGGTTTTACAAAAACCCTGCTACGTGTGGACAAGGCCTTAGAAGTCAGTACCAATACACAGTTGCTTTCACTAGAGTATGCACATCTATGAAGTCCCTGCATCTCTTCTACAGCTCAAGCACACCAGCTCACCTGCAGTCCTGCCCAGACACTGTGAAACAACTTTACCCCACATATATAGTGGCAAGCTGTAATATTGTAGTTATTCAGCTATAAAAGCTTTGAAGGATTGGTTCCTTTCCTTTGTTACTTGTGAAACCCCACATATCTGAGTCTGTGCTTTTAAGACTGAGGTTGGTACGCTGCAGTTCCAAAATGGAAACGCTAACTCATGGTGTTGGGCGGTTATTTCACTCATGGTAAGTCTTCTAGCTTGCAAAACACACAATATGGGCAAGTTAACAACTATTTAACCAGAGGGGGCCTTGATGACTATATTTGTATGTATTCGGTCAGTGTACAGATGTAATGCAGCTTAGTGAAGGAAGCACAATACAAAAAGTATCAGAGGATCCATTTAGCTACTGTTAGGCAGTCACAAGAAACATTACATTTACACTGCATTGAAATCAAGCAATTTCCTCATGCTGTATGAGTGGTAATAAAGAAAACAAGCATGCAGGAAAAAAATGGCCAAATGTTAACCAAAGTCATAGTATAGTGTGACCTCTATCACTTACCTATTTTTTTTTTCTTTTTCATTTTCATCAAGTTAAGTTTCTTTCTTTCTTTCTTTTTTTTTTTTTACTCAGTTTACTGCAAAATTGCTGCCTGGGGTATGTTCCTCTACAGTGCTTTTTTTTCTTTTTTTTTTTTTTTTTAACTCAGTTTACTGCAAAATTGCTGCCTGGGGTATGTTCCTCTACAGTGCCTTGTCCTAGATAATATCTCGCTCCCAGAACAACAAGAACTGGCACACCAGACTTACAAAGTGTAAACACACTCAAAACAGGGTACCCTAATAAAGCCAGGGGTTTCCAAAAAAAATTAAAAATTAAAAAAAAAACGTAACCAAGTGTGAAAACAGGAAAATACAGAGAGAAAGAGAAACAGAAAAGAAAAAAGGGGTTCACAGAAAAAGACAAAAGGAGAAGAGGCAGACAGAAAAATGGGCATTGAAATAGGCCGGAAGAAGCAATTTTGAAAAGAAGGGAGGAAAGAAATAAGCAGCAATTTTCTCCAGCACACCCACAATTCTCCAAATGGATCGGAAGCTGCAATTATAAATCTACAAAGTGGTGTCATAATATTCGCCAGCACCATCACAGCTGCTCCACGCACTGGTATACATGGCAGAGAAAAGACTCTCCCGGCGCATTAAGGTGTTGGGTGTAGATATTAAAATACATTAAATTTCAAAGGCGTTTCTCAACCTACACGGCCTTAACTTGAGTCATTTATTCATATTTACAAAACCAAACATTCAAAATATAATTAATTTGTCACAATGTTGGTGTTCTCATTTACTTGGTTAGACATTTATGCCATTATTCATCCATGTAGGGACTCATCCCTGTCTACTAGCACTTACTGCTGAACTATATTATAATTTCAAACAGCAGGATATTGACATTTGACAAAACATGGTGATGCTGAATGCGTCTGTAGATTGTTCTTGAGCAAATGTATTTAACTTGTCCTACTTTGTTCTCTCTTGCAATAAAATATGTGCTCACATTGACTAAAGCATCCATCCATGTTCTCTACGTATCCGGAGTTGCATCCGGCTAAAGACGGCATTTCGGACATCCTCCTTCTTGGCAAGCTCCTCCTGGGTAATCCCAAAGTGTTCCACAGCAGACTGAGATATGTAATCCACTCAGAAAGTTCTAGATCTACCTTGGAGCCTACTCCCAGTTGACAAATGCCCGAAAAACCTCTAAAGGACGACGGCAAAGAGGCATCCTAATTAGATGCCGAAACTACTTCAAATGTTGAACCTACCCTTTGATGAATCGCACCCTAACGTGGTGGATGGTTGTGCGGGTCCTTGTGATCCCTGGAGGTAAGCTGTCAGGAGCCCCTGCTAGGGTCTCCCAAAGCAAATTGGTGCCAGGGAAGGGACCAGATGGCGAGCAACTCAAATGCCTCAATGAATCGACAGCCAAGAAGCAACACAACCGAGCCTGGAATAGGGAGACCTGGACCATCTTCGAGACCACGGGTGTCCAATCCTGGTCCTCGAGGGCCACAATCTTGCATGTTTTAGATGCTTCCTTCTTCCAATACACCTGATTCAAATGATCAGGATCGTTATCAGGCTTCTGCAGAGCTTGATGATGAGCTGATCATTTGAATCAGGTCTGTTGGAAGAGGGAAGCATCTAAAACATGCAGGATTGCGGCCCTCGAGGACCAGGATTGGAGACCCCTGTTCTAGACTCTAGGCCCCTCCATGATCCTCTACAGCACTGGTTAACAACCACCGGACCGTGGACCATTCCTGGGCCGTGGGTCATTTGGTACCGGCGGAGTCTGCAGGGTGTTTTATTTTGAAAAAATGACGAGCTCGTCTCCCGTCACTTCCGCCTGTGCTTGTATGACTCTGTCAGCTTTCATGGCCAACCGTTAAACAGGGCAGTCAGTTGAACCGCTGCCGGAATGAATGAAAAAACAAACTTCTTTGAAAAGAGGGAGGGATTTGACGCTGAGACAGAAGAATTATTTTTATAAAAGATTATTATTTGTAATGTGCACAATGACCGGTCCGTGGTGCAAAAAAGGTTGGGGACCGCTGCTCTACAGGATAAAGTGGTGCATAGAAAACAGATGGATAGATAGATAGTCTTTTCCATTCTAAGTTAGCCATAGGTGTGAGCGTGAGTTTGCATGGTTGTTTGTCTCTTTGTGTGGCTCTGTGATGGACGGGTGACCCATCCAGGATGTACCCCGCCTCTCGCCAAATGTCAGCTGGGATATTCTACAGCCCACCCTCCAGGATATGTGGATATAGCTTATGGATGGAGGAGATGGATAATCTTTCCCTGAATTTAAGTTTAAAGTTAAGTTCTTTAAACTTTAACTCTAAGGAGGCAAACCCCGGGGCCTCGTCTCACGGTCCTGTGCTTTACATGCCCCAATATCCACCTTAAATCACTTCCCTACAACTCTTTTGCAGAATATAACATACCTCCACCTTCCCTTGACAAAAATGTGACTGCGAGCATAGTCTAGGCAGCAATTACTTTTCTAAAAAAAAAGAGCTGGCAGAACAAATGATTAGACACATAATTTAGAAAAGCCAGGGTTGAGGGAACAGCAGTGCTACTCTAGACTGACTGGATGCCCACATTCACAGGGAGGGATTTCAGTTCTGCCCTTGAAAATGTGATCACATGTTTCTCAGTAAAACCTCAGAGCTCTGGGTCGGTGAGAGCTGTAACATACATCTGACCTTGGTGTTTCAAATAATCTTTCAGCGTGTCTGCATTCCTGCTAAAGGTTGCAAATGTTACCCAGAGACACGTGGGCAGTTTACTCATGCAGGATTTCCAGTGTTAAGGTTTAAGGTCACCACTTAGGGTAACTTTGAGCTGCTGGTTGCCTCATCAAGGGTTAAGTGTAATGTGTAGCTCCTGTATTGTACAACGTGTGAATCCCTGTCAGGAAAACATACACATTCTTACGGTACTAGCGATACGACTGTAGGTTTACTACGGTATGTTCAATCTGCAAAGACTTGCCTTGATATTGATGCAGGGAGGAAACACCAACACACACACGTTAGCTGCTTTATATATCTCAACACTAATCCATAGAATATCAACACAGATGGAAGTGTACCTGTCCTTGAAGAAGCGTCGAAAGCCAAAGGCCACCAGCTTCAGAGAGGCCTCGATCACAAAGGTGGAGGTGAAGAAGTAGTTGCAGTACTTGAGTGCCGTCTCCAGAGACTGAGAGGTTAAAGAGGGAGACACGGTTTAGAAAGAAGAGAAGGCAGCAGTAACAGACAGCTAGTACCCTCTGTTTGTGTCTAATCTGAGCTATTCTAACTAAATGAATGATTCTGCCTTTGTTTGGAGCATTGTAGGGTCTTTACCCACAGTAAAAGACTTGTTTATATTTTGGCATGTCTGTGTAAAAACCTTTGGATTTTATCAATATGTGATGAAATAGTATACCAATTAGTGTATGAGAACAGTTGTTCAGTGATTCACTTTTGTCAATGTCAGACCAAGGATCTTGCCAATAAATCTCTTTTAAAAGAAGAGTGCTTAATTGAGACTGACAACTAAATCATGTCCGACTCTGGGGAGGAACAGAGAACACTTTTTTTTTTTAAACCACACTGGTGTTAATGAGTCAGACAAGAAGGGACATCATGGATAAAAATCTTGCAATGTTTAATACACATAATGAAACTGAAGCGTTTCCACAGTCTGCTGATGCTGGAAAGTCCCAGTCGAGCTTCACTAAAAGGCGCAAGATGGTACGTTTTGAGAGATATTTACTTTCAAGAGTTAGATGAAAAGGAGGTCCATCGTCAGCATACTGAGAAACAGCCAGGAGACAGTTTGCTTAGCATTACAGACAACTTGTTTTCGTATGGAGACAACAAAGGTACTGGTCGGTGGGTGGGTGGTATCTTTGGGCCAAGGCTGCCCTAGCTATCTTCTTGTCTGTTCACCAGGCAAAACTCATTTTAATCAGCAAATTTTTTATCTTGTCTTATCTTGGTTAGGATCAGGGCTTACCAAACATTTTCTCAGAACAGCCTTTTCTATTCAGATCTTCCATTATCCATCCAGATAAAGTGTCATGAAATTGTTAAGGTTTTACTTTTATCTCACCATAAAATGCTGGCAGCAGATATCTTTTTTTTTTTGAATAATTGGATAGGGAGGATTGTCTCAAAGCTGGCACCACCTGAACCATGACGGTGGGATATTCCATCACTTAGAAATAGGGCAATTATGTTATTAGTGCCTAACAGAAATAAACGTCATTACTTTAGTCACTCAAGTGTTCACATACAGTGCCCTACTTGCAAACCAAGCAAATGTTAAATTAACATATCGTTGCATATATTACCATATCATGATCGCATGGCACAGATAGGATCACATCTACATATAAATATATCTGTGCAATTACATGTTCATTAGTAATTCAAAGAGTAAATGTGTGGAGACACACAGCTGCATGCAGGTTGTAACTATAATTAAACTTGATGTCATTTCAATTTTTTTTTTTTCCTCACCAACACTTAATCGCACAGACAAGCATCTGGCATCGTTGGAAAGGTTAAGTCATGAGATTTCAATTTCTATGTGCTGCACCTCACTGCAAATCATAATTTTAGAGTGATTCAACTGAGAAGAAGGGAAGTGAATTTGGATTCAAAGTGTGTTTGTCGGGCTCTGAAGACTAAGTCAGGCTACGCTATACTGAAACTTGAGTATGTGCTTAGTGGTTAAAGGCAAATGTGGTACAGATTTTTATCGACCAAGTAGAGCAAAACACTTAAATCATGAAAAGGCGAGATGCAGTGTATATTTCGGACAGCACTGGTGCAATACCTGAGTCAAGTCAAAAGCGTTAGATTTCCAGAGCCCGAGCTTACCAACATACATTTGACCAGCCCTGTTCAACTTACAGCAGCAGTCCCGACCTCCATCACAATATTTTAGCTTCATTTCTTCCTCTTTTACTTTCCCTGGGATTTAATCTAGAGAGCTATGAGCAAATATGAGGAAACCTGTGGGTCTCTGACTGCAGCCTCACACGTGTGGGCGGCAGCTTTAGACGCCAATGACAACTCAAATAGCTGTTGACTTGGAGTGTCAGTGATGGTAAAGCTGACATAAACAGACAGGTAGAGTTAACTGGAAATAATGAGCTGCGTGGGTTGTCTGCGTGCGGCTACATAAGCTGCTATTATCTTACACCTTTGGCACAAGCGAATTGTTGCTTAAGATCAGAAAAAGTTTTCAGTTGAGCGCTGAGGCTAAGCAGCCTCCAGACAAACCGGTTCCCTTTTCAGCCTACATGAGGTTACAAGCCCCAGCTCGGAAATGTGACAGCAAACAACAGGTCCAGTAGCAGAGAAAAATATCTCCTACACCTGGATGATTTGCACTGTTTTAAAGACAGTTATTCAAATAGTCCTCCTGCAGCCAGAAATAATAATTAACTATGATATAAGTAGCAGATTAATGTTAATCATGAGTGCAGTAGGAATGCGTTCTATTATTCATGTGGATAATAACTTACTCCTGCAGCAGCCCACAGCCTGAACTGTTTATTTGATAGCACCCATAGAAGAGTTGACTTCTTCTTAACTATATCACATACAAGCACAGTTACCTCCCAGCAATTCATTTTTTGGATAAATGTTTTGGTTGTTGGCTGTTCTTGTTGCTGATTCAGAGCAGCAAGCTGGCAGTCAGCCTCTGGGAGGGGCTACTTTCAACCACCTACTCAGAAAGCCCTCAAACGATGCTGTGCTGTGTGTCTTTCTCAAACTACCACCCACAACCCCGACCTTCCCTCCATCCCCCGCGGTCACCTGCGGTTGGCTGTAGTGCTCCAGGGACATGGTGATGACATTGATGCAGATGATGAAGGTGATGACCAGGTCCAGGTAGTGGCTGGTACACAGAGCGTGAATAGCCAGGCGGGCGCGACCGTAGGAGGCATAGTACGGCATCTTCTGGGCCTCTGCGTAGAGAAAAAGTGAAGAGGACGAAGACGGAGGGAGAGAGAATAAGAAGAGAAAGCAAGTGGGAGAGCAAAAAAAAAAAAAGAAATGGAAGAATAAATAAAAAGAGGAATAATGTGAGAGAATTAAATGAGGAGGGTAAAGGTCAAGAGGGAGCAGAATATGGAAAAGAGAGAAAAACACGGTTCAGTAAGAAAAGAGGATAAAGGAAAAGCAAACAGGATGATTTATTTAAAAGAGTTGAAATACGAGGAGCAGAGCGGATGATGAGACATCCGAGATAAAACTGGGAGCTAATACGAAGAGAAAAAAGTTTGATAAATGCGTGAGTCAGGTTAAGTAGTTTTAAATGAGTTGAAATAATGACTCATTCACAATTATATTATCAATTTAAAATATCAAATTAGAAGTCCTGGGTATATGTCGTTTGGACCGCATTCAAGGTGGAGTGCAGTCTTTCAAACCTTCAAGTCAACTTATTATTGGACATATTAAGCTGCTAAATTGTATTTTTTTTTTTTTCAAAGACATTATTACTTTAGATTTAAATTTTTCTCCTAAGCTCTATATTTCACCTGTTCCTGCCTCGCTTCCTCTCTTGATTTACTGCTCCCCCCCTGTGACTATTCCTCCTTTGCAGCAGGACTCCACTGATCTCTCCATCATTCATTCCTCTGTCCACTCAGTCTTTGCTCTCATCTTCACTTCCCAGGAGGCTTCGTGTCCCATCCTCCTCCCGCCCATCCATCATTATTTCCCTTGACTATTTCCATCTGCGCTATCTGACTATTTTTTACCTCCCTAGTCACTCTAATTTTTTTTTTTTTACCCTAAATATCCATCCTCGTCTTTTCTTCCCCCTCGACTTTACTCATTTTCTTCTCAGTCCTTCCCATATTTCAAGGCCTCAGCTCCTTCCCTAATCACTCTCTCTCTCTCTCTGGGTCTTACTTCTCCTTTTCTTCTCCATGCGGCGCTGGCGTTTCTCCTCTCGTCTCCTGGCCTCCTCCACCTCCTGGTGCTGCCGACACTTGTGGAAGTTCTCCACCACCACGCCCACAAACATGTTGAGGACGAAGAAGCTCACGATCAGGAGGAAGGAGATGAAGTAGAGCAGCATCCACGGGTTGTTGTTGGTCATGGGCTGGGAGAGGAGAGGAGGTTTGAAGAAGGGGAAAGAAAAGAGATTAGACAGGAAACGGCTGAGAAGAAGGAGCTTGTCAAGGGAGGTGAGACAGGACTGGTAGGAGTTGGTTAGGAAAGAAAGTGAAGATAAAAGTAAAACCAATAATTAGCTCCTAGGTTATCATTTGATGTGAATGCATCTTTTTCTGTTGGGGACAAATTTCTGTTAGTAGAGTAACTTTGCTGTAGCTCAGATAGAAGAGTCACCTAAGGGGTCAAAAGGTTAAGGTCTGAAGCCAACCAGGGAAGACATGTTTAAATCCTTAAAAGGTTTGGACTCAGCGTTTATTACATGCGATGGAAAAGTGTACCACAAGCTTTAAACCTACAACTTCTATACAACGAGCCAATAGGAAAAGAGTTTGTGTTCACTGTAACACATTTACATTTGTCTTTTCCCATTGCAATGATGTCATGTCATTCTCCATATTGTTCACTATAACATCTTTACAGAGAACCCAGCAGTGTGTTTGTTGTCTTATTCAAGGGTAGAATGTTGGTGCATATAATAGGTCAGAATCAGAATCAGCTTTAATGGCCAAGTACGTACACAACATACAAGGAATTTGGATACGGCTGTTGGTGTCGCCCCAGGAATTGACACGAATAATAGAAATAGGAAAATTTAAAAAATAAAATAAAATGAAGTAAAATAACTACAGAAGAAAAAGAATAAAATACAATAAATATTAATAAAAAAATAAACAAGATAATAAGACAAATATATACAAGAATTTACACATCCAGTAGAAAAGGTATATGTACATTAGCGCAAAATGAAAGTGCATATAGCAGTTGTGGCTTGGAGTGGCTCAGGTTCAGTGTTTATGAAGTATGGTCAAAAACTTCAAGAAACTCAGCTTTGAAAAGCTAAAACCACACCTGGTTTGTATTTGGTCACTGTCTTCTTTGAAGTAAATGGTAAATGATCTGTACTTATATAGCGTTTTTAGCCAAAGCTTTACAATGTGTTTCTCATTCACCCATTCACACACACATCCATACACCAATGGCGACAGAGCTGCCATTGGGAGCAACTTTGGGTTCAGTGGACACTTCGACTGTGGAGGGGCCGGAGATCGAACTGCCAACCCTGTGAATGGAGGACAACCCGCTCTCCCACCTGAGCCACAGCCGCCATAGTCGCCTTGTACCGCCATGCACCACTCCCAGTGTTCCTGCCACACTTGAAACTCTATATAGGCTCCGTTCTATAAGCAGGTCAAGCTCCATCTCCTCCACTGTGTCAAAATGGCAACTCTTTAATTTGATTTAAATTTTGGGGAAGAGGAAGAAGTCACAGGGAGCTGAATTTGGTGAGTGGGTCAGCTAGTGAGCAATGATTGAACTCATTGCAGTTTCAACATACGGCGAGCTGCTCGACACACTCAGGTCACTTGCTTGAAATGATCTCAGAGACGCACATCCACTGAAGATTGCTGTTTGGTCGCAGATCTGACTCTTCTCGCTAGTGATGACCCTGTATATGATTTTTTTTTCAGTTTGAGTTTTTGGTACATCAGTTTTTGCTCTTTGTGCAATTTTGAGGTTTGTGATAAAATCGCAACGTGCAACTGCAAATGGTCAGAGAGCATTCCAAGTACAAGCACTGGGAGCAGTGGATCGCTGCCCAAGGAGTCGACTATAAAGAGGACAGAGTTCAAACTTGAATCAGGTAAAATTCTCTGTTGATTGTACTTAGTATGTGACAGATGTTATTGTAACAGACACCACTAGCGATATTAAAATAGTAAAAATAAACCTAAAGAGGAGGAAAGGGGCCATAAAAAAGCAGAAAGGTGTAAATAATTGGAAACAGAAAGGCGCAAATATTTCTAAATAATGGAAGGAAAGCGAATGAGAAGGAAGGTGGAGGATCCTGAGGGAAGAGTGGGTGAGAAAGTGTAAATGAGCCAGGGGAGCTGAGCTGAACATAGCGAGCCACATCTAGAAACCTTCCAGCCATCTCCAAGCAGAATCTCTGTCTTAATGCTGCAAATGGTGAATATAAAGGCATTCATTCAACTAGTTGTACAAGTCCAACGCTGGAGAATGGGAAGTGACAGGGAGCGAGTTCTTCATGAGGGAGCAACCAAACAACAAAGTCTGCATCGGTGGAAGGATGTTTATATAAAGTCCCGATGAGACAATGAAGTACAATAGAGAAACTCCTTCGATCTGAAAGCTGTGTGCCAATATTTGATCAGCAAATGTAGCACCTTGCTGGATGATTTCTATGTTAGCAGCCTCCTGTGTGGGTTAGAATCTACTGGATGGAGTTACTTCTTACTTGTCTGTAAGTGGTCTGTTGGTCTATTGGCTCTATTACCCCATCTGTTTTATACAACAATTCCTGTAATGGGTTCTCTGGGGACTCGGGGTTTAGCACCTTCGTCTCACAGCCAGAAGATCCCTGGTTTGCATCCCAGTGAGGACACCCGGGATCTTTCTGTGTGGAGTTTGCATGTTCTCCCCGTGCAGCGTGGGTTCTCCCCGGGTTCTCCGGCTTCCTCCCACACAGTCCAAAAACATGTTGAGGTCAATTGGTGATTCTAAATTGTCTGTAGGTTGAATTTGAGTGTGCTTGGTTGTCTCTCTGTGTAGCCCTGTGACTGGTGATTGGTGATCTTCGCCCTGAGTCAGCTGGGATAGGCTCCAGCCCCATGTGGCCCTAGTGAGGATTAATATAGATAATGGATGGGTGGATGGTCCTCTGGGTGTAGTTATGGTACTAAACAAAACTAAATGCTGTTCAACATCACTAAAATGTTCACATTTTCTAGATTGAATGCAGCTTTGCTTGTTTTCATATGGTGGCCAAAAGACTGAAGAATGTTCGACTAAATAAACTGCTAAAAAAGTCCCTTATTTAAGATAACACAGTTTTGTAGAAGCTGCTGGTGTTTCAGAGACGTGCACAACGGACGTAAGACACTGCCATTCCTCCCTCCTTGTCCTTTGCCGTTGGTGCTATCACACAATGATAGACGCACTGGAGTCATTTCAGCAGACTAAGGTTTGCGTCCCATGACAAAACCAGCTGAGAACATCCGGCTATGGTCTCATGATATATACTACTAAAGCTGAATTTTATAGGTCTACTGACTAACTTGTGCATTGAAAAATGACGACAAAAGGTACCCAGTTTGTTTAAATGTGAAGCTAAGAGGTCTAGACAAAGCGCACATACATGAAGAGTTGGGAATGAGACTGGGCTCCTTTATGAAGTCTCACAATCTGTTTTTTAGGTAATTTAGCATCAGACACAACCCAGTCCTGAGAAAGCCGAGGTCCACGTGATCTTCTACAACTTTGCATTTAGCCTTGTTGAACATCAGACATGTACCCACTTTTATCACTGTCGTCACAGATAAATAAACTATTTAAAAGTGGATTTATGTTTACTACTGCGGTTGTACTTTAAGGCTCGTCTATAAAATGTATTACAGTCACAGTTTATGTTACAAGTAATCCAGAGGACTCATGCCGACCCGCAGGTGATGTTTGACATTCGCTTTCTAGATTAGTTTAGGACTGTAATAGATCAAACATGCACTGAGTGAGGGTTCCTCATCTATTTTGTTCTCTTTGAGCAACATTTGAAACGCACATCAACCCTCACGACGGTCTAATTAAGTAAACCACTCCACCTTCGCCACAGTCCAAAACCCTGTCACCAGTCACAAAAGAAAACAGAAGAACAGGCAGAAGAAAGAGGCAATCTGAAAAAAGCTGCAGGGTGACTGGGTGCTGGGAGATCGTCATCGCAGGGAATCATTGGAAAACAAAAAAAGTCTAGTTCAGGTGCAATAAAGACGAAGATGAGAGTCAGATTTTCAATTTGGAGGAGCGCTGAGTGTTGAAAGCGCAGGGTGGAGTGTAAATGGAATTAGTCATTCAGCGCCGTGTTGGACTGCAGCGACGTTCCTCCCTGAGGTCGGGGAAACTGAATCATCCAGAATAACGCCGTCTCTTTAATAGACTCTCTAATAGATTTTCAAATAAACCAATTCCAAAGGGAGTGTGTTCACTTTGTAGCCACTACAGACGACTAATTTGCATGATGTGATTGGACATCGACATCGTGTGTGAGTGCGTTATTTGTTAGGCTAAGGCAATCTTAACCTTTTTAAAGCATTACGAGTCTACAATTTGTAACCCTTATGTGTCCTCTGTGTAAATCTATGCTGGTTGGTGTGATAGCTTTAGCAAAGATGTCAAAACTGTGATTTGACTGATGAAAAAAAAGGTTTCTGTAAATTTGCTGAAGGCTGAACGTAGCTGTTGTGGTGAGGAGCGTATGGAGGCAAAGCTTTCAACTTGACAGTCAAACTGGGAACCAACCCTCAATTACAGTTGAGCAGGTCGCCAGGGATCACATATAAAGTGCAGCTAAATCAGCTTAAATCACTTCTGTTGAGTGGGTTTCATTTAAAAAAAAGATTTTTAGGAACTTTTGCTTAAAATCAAAACTTGACAGCAGATGAAACAAAAATGAGAGCAGAGAGGAAACGTCCTCAAAGAGACCAGCTTTAAATACATGCCATGCATCTTAAGATGACCGGCCCACCCTGTTTTTGCTCAGCTTTTAAGATAAACTGTGAAGTGGATGTTTGGGAGAAGGTTAGAGTGCAGAGTGATGCTTCTTTGCTCCTACGAGAGCAAATGAGTGGTCTGAAATGCATCTGATCAAGATGCATCCAAGCTGCCTCTCTGTGGAGGAGTTGTGGGACATCCAACCGCGTAGAGTACCAGAAGGAAGGATTTCATATTCCATCTGGCCTAAGGAAGTGTGGGATTCCCTAAAATGAGTTGGATGCTGTAGCTGGAGAGTGGAGCCGGCATGTGGGTGGGCCTCTCTGCTTGGTGTGCTGTCACTGCTACAAGCAAACGGTTTAAAACTGGTGTAACAGCTAATACCAAAGCAACATCACTGAAAGACAATTATTCAGTTCTGACGGCTCAACTTTTCTTTACTCACTCATCTAAGGATCTGTAAAACATGGAAGTCAAAGTTGCATGTATGATCTGTTACATAGTACTTGGATCTATTAGTTTATACGTTGTCTTACGTGGGTTAATTTGAAATTAAATTAAAGGTTACTACACTGTGTTGAATCTGATCGTCTGTCTACCAGGAGTCTACATCTATAATGACAAAATGCAATATGATTTTATTTTTCCACAAACTTTAAAGTTTAGTTTCGTTTAACAATGCGGAGGGTTCTGACTCCCCTAAGTGTGCATTATTGTGTCATAGTTAGTAGTTTGTTCTCTTGTATGTCCATAAATGCACGTTCAGTTGCCTAAACTGTTTATTGGTCACGTTTAGGTTCCTACATTGAAAAAATTCAGCTACGTAGCTCTCATAATAAACTTAAAGAGGCAGGCAGACTAAGGATGAACCCCTTGAACGAACGGTCACAGCTTTAAAAACTACAAGTCATGTTGAAAAAATGATGTCACCATCCGAACAAACTGATGCATTTTCATGTACGTCCTGTCTATTGTACAGATTTGGTGGCAGGTTGGAGAGACTCACCATTTCTGATTTTCACCTGACGCTTAAGAGCACAGGCATAATGGGGGTCAATGACAGGTTTGGTCGGCACACTCTGTGCTCTGAAGGGATTTATGAAAAAAACACAAGTCCTACAGCAATGAGGGTCACACTGGGTGACAGAGGACAGACATTTCTAAGTATAAACTGTTCATGTAGAGTACAAATTGTGCGGAGACAAGGCTAGCTGCACTTTTTTCAAAATCTAAGTAAACAAAAAAATCTAATTCTTTACAAAAAAATCATAAAACTTAAACTGTGACTCTGTTAAAAAGATATCAAAACACAAAGTCAAAGCCTCGTGACCTGTTTAAACGCCAGTGCGACAGGGTTTCAAAGGTCAAAGGGTTTTAAGTCATCAGTCCTGATGGAGCTGCACATTTTTAAAAATACACTTTGTTTGGGTTTTCTTAAAGCTGTCGGACAGGTTAGACGGGACAGGAAGGATCTCCAATGAGAACAACAATAACAGTAATTGTGCTTCCATCCTTATGCATTGGCACCTTACTCATAAAATAATTCGGCATCAGCGTTTGAGCACACATTTCCCTACAGCACACAGATTTGCACCAGGCTTGTCTGTTATTACCTGCTGGTCAATTCCTACTGCATCCAGTCCGTGGTACATTATATTGACCCAGCCGTCTTTTGATGCCAACACAAACAGGGACATCAGAGCCTGGAAGACACACACACACATGAAATATTTAAAAAATAAAAAATAAAAATATATAAACATACCTACAGAACTTTATTTTGTAGGTCAGTGCTGCTGATTATAATTCATGAGATAAACGTGGAAAAATATTAGTCAGAGAAAACAAAACAAAAACAACAACTCACAATTCAGAAAGCAAAAATAACCCTTAGTGTTTAAAGCAGTAACTGTGAACTGTTATTATGTAATGCTATTCAGTGAGAGAACAGACAAGCACCTATTTTAAAAGAGATAATTACTAACGTCATCTGGAGAGTCCGTCATCTGTTTGTTATTTGACGGGACTGTGTTCTGTAATAGTCAATTAAACACTGTCTGTTCTAATAAAAGGCAAAAATACATTTTACACGTCTTGCAGTCATAATTCAAATTACAGTCGTGACTCGATAATCCGACCCTTAACAATCCGAAAACCTTGCTGTCCGACAGGTTTTTAGGAAAAATGAACGGAACTCCAACATACTGACAGCTTTGGATTCTGACTCCAACATGACATTTTATGTCACCAATCAGGATAACGGCGTATTATCTGACTAAACAATCCCACAGATTAACTACGTTCACACTGCAGGACTTAATGCTACATTCAGATTTTTTGCAAGTTCGTTCACATTTCCAGTTAAATGCGACTTGTATGTGATCTGCTGTGTGAACTTCATACGACCCAAAAGTGTCCCGCATGCACAGAAGAGGACACGACGACGTCACACTCAGCGAGTGTGTTCAGTGTTTATGGAAGTAAACAGGGATGGTAACGGTGGAGCATATCAGCCACTCCTCTACTGCCACCGATGGTGGAAACAGAACTGTGACCACTAACTAAACTGGCATCAGCAGCCAAGTACTGCCTGTGTGTTCCAACCACTTCCACCCCATAAGAGCACAAGCGACGGGGTGGAAGTGGTCCTCCCGACCGCGCCGAATATTTAGATATTCATCATTAATTGGATCTGTGTTGTTCAGACTGTCATGAAAAGATCAGATACAGGTCGCATAGGAGAAAAAAAAAAATCGGATTTGTGTCACTTCAGCTGCTGTCTGAATGTATTTACCTTTAATGTCAACCGACAGGCTTGTGCACAATCGCACCGGTCAGTTAGACGTGAAATCCAGCGATGCGTAGTGTTCTAACAATACACTAGTTATTATAACAACTATGAACAATAAATATTAACAACAAATGAGCCTTCCAGCATCAAGCCCTCCTTGTATCTCGACTTCCGTCTTGACAATCCGACAGCCTTGTTATCTGACATAAAAAAAGGTTTTACATTTAGTGTCGGATTATCGAGTCACGATACCTCTTTCTACTTTCACCTTATGAGCACTCTTTTTTTGCAATAAACTATCCATGCATCATTAAAAGTTGTTCCTCCACAGTCTATACTGTCCTACACAGGGTCCTAATCATTACTAGCAGTGCTATGTTTGTGCACCGTTGTCATGTATACGTCTAGATTCATAAGTCGAAAACTGACAGGTTGCTACAGATGCATTTTTATCTTTTTTTTTTTTTACCTGTCCAAGGTTGTCAAAGTTGTATTTGTGATGAACCCATCGATAGTTGGCAGCCAGACAGTCAGATTTGTTGGTGATGTTCTTCACATCGAAACCAACACAGTAGTAGAACTTGCCTTTGAAGAGCTTGAAAAGAAAACACACACACACACACACACACACACACACACACACACACACACAGAGCAGGAAATGAGAGACAGAAGCACACAAAGATACGTTTCGATGAAGCCACGACAACACTTGTGTGCGTAGCCGTTTCCTTCACGCGGCTTTTGAAGTAATTTCATAATTAGCGCCTTTAAACTGGTGGATGAAGCTAAACTGAGATGCACTTGATATCAGCAGCGCGGCTCCCCTCCTGAGATACGATGTTTTTAATTCGGAGTCATATTGAACACATCAAAGAGGAGAGCGAGTAAAATAATGCATCGTAGAGGATGCGGAGAGAATGATAACGTGAGCTGAAGCTGAGGAGGGACTGACAACGAGATTCAAAGAAAATATAAAGTGCTGTGATGAAATGAAAGCAGGAGAATGGAGCCGTCTGTACATTTCAAGATGAGTTTATTTTGGCTTAATGGGCCATTGCAGTGGAGGAAATGTACTGAGGGGACATTATATTGATTATTTTTGCTTTGTTTTTGTGGAGATCCAATAGAATTTATTGAGGACGTATATACTGTATTGTATGTTGCATCCACTTTACTGGAGTCTTTCTGTGTGATGAATCCCATCACGTTTTCCCTGATAAGAGTGTGGATCTTTATAAAGAGAATGAGCCCAACCTGTTAGATTTCTGCAGGTTGATGTGCTAGCTTAATACCTATTCCTGATAGATTTCACTCTAAACAGCCTTCTTAGCCATCCTGTGCTAGGCAACTGTTCTTCTCCCTTTTTGGTTTGAAGACATTTTATCAACACTCCTGATTTATGTGTCGCTCTCAGAGACTCGTGGCTAATGGCCCAAGACTCACAGCTTTGAGGTGTGAATGGCTGTGAAGCCGTCTTCACATCCAGGTGGCTTCTACTGAAGCACTTAGCACCATGTTTCATCCTCCAGTTCTTGTGTTTAGCCTTTTTGCTCTAGATGTAAGTTAAAAGCATAATTGCGGCCCAGGAAGCATGTTTTGACCTACTTTAGTTCTCCAGTGGATAAAAACTTAATAGGACTATGGGGGTTGCCATGTTGGGTCATTTTTTAGTTAATAGGGAATAGTTTGACCGTCTCAGGACCAAGTTTTTACAAATTGTTAAAGGCTTGTGAGGTATCCTGATTAATAATAATAACATAGAAGAATTCTACCTGAACACCAAGGATGCCGAAGATGATGAAGAAGGCGCAGCAGATGAGCACGATGTTGCCGATGGGCTTGAGGGATGTAATGAGGGTCTCGACCACCAGCTTCAGCCCTGGAGCTCTGCTGATCACCCTGGGAGACAGCGAGAGAGAAAAAAGGTGACAAAATAAAATAAAAACAGTACTTATATCATTATCAAAGCAGTGTAAATAGCAGTCTAGTTCCCTTTGATGGGACAGTCACTGACATGTTCACTCATGTATACGGTGACTCTCATTTCTATACCAACAGAAAAAAAAAAGAGAACGACGCGCTGAATTCATTCAGAGTTAAACTGACCATAATTGAGTGTAATTTAAGCTTACTGCGCCCCACTTCACCAGCTGCGACAACCTCATTTTATTTTCTGAACAGCTCTGTCAGGTGATTCCAGGCACGGACTGGTTAAATACATGTCCTAAAGCAACCTGGGAGTTGGGAATACCCAAGGGCTGCAGGATAAATTTGAAATGTCACAAAATGATGAAAGAGGGAAGCAGGAGGAAAAGAAAAAAAAATCTGTTTATCTTTTCATACATTTCTTGGATCTTTGCCTTTAATTTTAATGAAACTATTTTACTTCTGCTTCTTTTTCAGGTTATTCAAATAAAGTGTGAATTAAAAAGCTCAACCGGATGCACTGTTGGAAACTTTTGTGAAGGAGTGGGATGCTGACATTCACTGTGAAAGCAAATAAAGTCGAGGAAGACGTCTTAATGCAAAGAAAACTACTGATAAGTACAGATAAAGATTTGATTCAAAGCATGAGGAAGAATAGCTCTGACTAAAATATGGACATCTGCTCACTTAAGTACTACTGTAGGACTTAAGTACCATTTGAATGCCTTTACATACTGCTTTCCAATGCACTGCATAGCTGGTTGAGGTTCTAAAGGGAATAGTTTGACATTTTGAAAAATATGCATATGTCCGCTCTGATGGAGAGCTCAATTAGAAGATCAGTTTTACTCACATGAAGCTACTGCAAGCAGCTGCTTAGCACCAACACTTGAAGAATCAGCCTGACTCTGACACGAAAATTTGAATGCAAAGTACGTCTGAAAGACTCTTCGTGTTAATCTGTACAAAACCTGAAATGTTCAGTTCGACTCGGGTCCCGGATCATTTCTTGCTTGGCCGGGACAGGTACCTGGAATTCCAATTGTGTTGCCGGGCAACTGCTCAGAGAGATGAGGTGCTGTCAGCTGGTTTTTATTAACTTTGGATGGAGTCAGGATACGTTTTCGCCACTGTTTCTAGAGTTAATGCAAAGTTAAGCTAACTGTCTGCTTATACTTTTCAGATGCATCCAGGGCGGCACTGATCTTCTAATCTTAACTGTTCCTTTAAGACACGATCCACGAAGGAAAACGCGACCGTTTGCTCGTCTTACCTGAGAGGACGCAGCGTCCTGAGCAACCTGAGAACACGGAGAACCCCGAGGATCTTAGCCCCGCCCGCCATGGACACCACGATGTCAATCAGCGACACGAACACCAGGAAACCATCCAGAATGTTCCAGCTGCTCCTCAGATAGGCCGTTTCCCCGAGGTACAAACCCATGGACACCACCTGGGGAGATGAAAGCAGAGAGATGCTGGGAGTCCACACAGGTAATGCGACGGTGGCCAGATGGGCACATGCACACTCACACACTGCTTGATATTCAGATTTATTATTTGACTTCTCAAACAGGTATTCCACTACTTCCCAGAGGAGAGGAGAGGAGTGTGATTGAGCTCGAGAGGTGTTGAATCTAAAACAGTTAAAATTCAGAGGAGATGAAAACACTGTCGTTGGAAGACGAATCCACGGCGAAACCCTGGATTTGTTTGTGCAGTTAATCGGCTTCTGCGTTGACACTGCTGACTGTACTGCAACCAAAGGAAATGATTAAAACTTAAGGAAAAGAGTTACAGTTTTAGACGTAGAGCACACCAGACTGCTGACTGTGCACTGTGCCACTTCAGCAAGTCTGCCCCGAAATCCTCTTAAATAAAACACTTCCACACTCTGGACGCCCAAACTGTCACGACGCAGAGGGCGAAAATACTAAGAAGGCGTGTGTTGTGACTGAAGCTGCGAACTCTAAGAGCTGCACGTATTTCATTCTTCTGGTTTAATGGTCTGTCATCTTCTAGCTACAGCTGGGTGGGAGGTCTCACTCACTTGGCACACTCAAATTGAAATCGAAGGGAAGGAGGTGAAGATTTGTGAGGAAACGTGGGGGGGTTATGGTTGAGGTGGGGTAGATCAACATTTTTGAGGAAACAGCGAGACAGCTATTAGTAGGAGGAATGTAACGCTGAAGTCAAAGAGAAAAATAGAAAGTTTTGAGATCAAAAAAGGGTGAGTCTGAAGGAAGAAGTTGCAACAGCAGATGTTTGTGTGCAAAATCATTTGACACCTGCCAGGTGCTTTCATGGCATGAACAATTTGACTGTCGTGTCACAAGAGGAGATGCTCATCTGCCTTGTTTAGCGGAAAATACCACGAGAGACAGATATGGGATAAAATGAGCTTTTCTGGAAAAGTTGGTGCATACATCTAGGAAACAAGCACTTTGGATGATGTAGTGTGTTTCAGTGTGGACTCATTATTTGGTAGCTTGGTTTTGGAGCATCGTAGCTGCAGTCAGATTGGACTGACAAAGATCTGGCCGTCCACTTTCTTCCACTTATCCGGGGTTTGGTGGCAGCAGGCAAAGTAGTGCATTCCAGACATCCCTCTCCCTGGTAATGTTTTTTTTCCTGGAGGATCCAATGGTGTTTCTGGGCCAGACAAGAGATGTAATTCCTCCAACAAGTCCATCCTGAGTCTCCTCCCAGTAAGATGTACCTGGGAAACTTCCAAGTAAAGTCACAGAGGAGGCATCCTGATCAGATGCCCGAACCACCTCAGCTGACTCCTTTCACTGACTGTATTCCGAGCTGCCTCCAGCAGAATTAACTCATTTCAGGCGTTTGCGATCTCAATCTTTCGGTCGATACCAAGAGCTCGTGACCAGAGTTGAGGGCTGGAGCGAAAGATCGAGAGTCCTCTTCACCACAACGGTCCAACACAATGGCCACATTACTGCTTACACTGCCGAGGTGAGCGTCAACATAACGAAACGAAGGCTAGGAACTTTTTTAATCAGTCCTGCAATTTAAACCACGCATATGCCACAAATGTGTACGTTTAGATGCTTTTCTTTGCTTTCTGGTCCAAGTCCATTGATCACTCAAGTGTACAGAACTTTCTTCTCGTCATCGTTTTCATAGAGCGCTTTACCACATTTGTAGATATGAAAAAGTGACAGAGAAATAAAAAAAACATAGACGTCTTTACACAATACAGTAGAAAGTATAGTGTTTAATTCAGCCAATTCACATAAAAAGGCTAAATATCCCAAAAAAAAAAAGCATCCTCTCAGTAAATATATTGAAAACATATTGCATATTGCTCAACACATTGTGCAAAAGATTTCCTTTAGGACTTTGAGAGACAGTGAGGTCAGTGGCCTACACCTATTGATAATTCACATCCTTGCCACCGCTGTGACAGCACCTCCGGCTACTAGACTCTGAGATCAGGTATCTGCAGCAGTTCTCATGACAAGGTTTTCTTTGGAAGCCACTCACACTAGCTACAGTCTACCTTTGGACACATCTTCTGCAAATGCTCGCACAAAACTCTGCTGTTGCACTGCGTGCTGGAAGCCCTCGACAATACAGGAAATCCCACCTGTGAACAATCATAATTACTGTCAACACAGAAACTCAAAGTGAGTGATGGCAGCAGGTATCTGTAGTCACAATGTACAGAAGCTGGGCATCAAAGGGTGATATAGAAATAAAATAAAAAGAAAAAAACAAAGAGGAAGAGAGAGGAAGACAGCTGGATAATGAGAGGGAAGTCTGAAGAACAACAGAGAGAGGTCTGCAGTATGTATCAGAACACTGTCAGAAGTGGTGATTCCATACAGCTCTGTTTAGGAACAGACAGTCTTTCCACATTGTTTTGACAGCGAACATGGTCCAAAACTCTCACTGTGAGACGGTGTTTCATCTGTCCTCACTGGTGAGATGTGCACAGTGGTGAGGCACTGTCACATCCTATAGCGTGGATCTTTTGTCACACTTTGACAGGCTGGATAGCGAGTTTTAATGCGTCTGCTCTGTTAATAATAGCAGGCAGCTATACTGAAGCCCCTTTGGCACTATGGGAATGCCGTGGGCCCTCCATTAAGCACATCAAATATCGCCACGATAAAACACGATGCATGGGAAATCTATAGAAGGTTAATACCAGCGCTATCATCAAAGCCTGCTCTTCTCCTACAAGCCGTCATTTGGCCGACGGGGTGAGTATGTTGCAGTAAATTCAAATTTAAATTACATTCAAACTCCATTTGCAATTTGATGCAGCATAAAACACGGTAATTATTGTACTTGTCGCTGCAGCGTTTTGGAAGCTGATGTTCACGCTGCCACACAACCACGATGGACACGATACTTTTTACATGTACTTTAGGGTCAAAATGCTTTAACACTCTAATGGCTTTAGAGTCTGAGCGAGGGTGCTTATTTGTTGTTCACCATCAGGCATGAATGAAAGAAATCTGTTAAATATAAGAAAAACATGTGAAGATGGTCCTCTTGTAGCAAAATGACCACATAGATTCTTCATGTAAGCAGCTTCTTACAACCAGTAGTTAAGGAGGAGGTCACAATGAATGCAGTGTTCCAAAAGATTGACGTTATTATAACTATAATGAGAAATACAGTCGTGACTTGATAATCCGACACTAAATGTAAAACTTTCTTTTATGTCAGATTGTCAAGACGGAGGTCGAGATACAAGGAGGGCTTGATGCTTGAAGGCTCATTTGTTGTTAGTATTCATTGTTCATAGTTGTTATAATAACCAGTAGGGCTGGTCCCAATAGCACATTCTGGTCTCTGGATATTCAGGCCCAATTAATGATGAATATCCGAATATTCGGCGCAGTCGGGAGACACTTCAACCCCGCGGGACCGCTCCGATGGGGTAGAAGTGGTCGGAACTTGGCTGCTGATGCCAGTATAGGATGGCGATCACACTTCTGTTTCCACCGCTGCCGCCACCATCCATGTTTACTTCCGTAAACACTGAGCATGCTCACTGTGTGTGACGTCGTCGTGTCCTCTTCTGCGCATGCGGGACACTTTTGGGTCGTATGAAGTTCATACAGCAGATCACATACAAGTCGCATTTAATTGGAAATGTGAACGAACTCGCAAAAAAATCTGAATTGAGCATTAAGTCCTGCAGTGTGAACGTAGCCAATCTGTTGGATTGTTCAGTCAGATAATACGCCGTTATCCTGATTGGTGACATAAAATGTCATGTCGGAGTTGGAGTTGGGGTCCGTTCATTTTTCCTGAAAACCTGTCGGACAGCAAGGTTTTGGATTGTTAAGGGTCGGATTATTGAGTCATGACTGTAGTTATTCAATTTGAGGGAATTGTTAAGTCAAGGAAATAAATGTAAATAAAAAGTAGATTAAAAAACAAACAAAAAACCCCATTAATTATCAAATTAATCATGTGGAAATTGCAGCATTGATGTCAATTCTGTGGACAGCTGCTGACTCAAACAGTGGACTTGCACATGCTTGCATAGATACTAGAATATATGGGAATGTATCTGAGATCCATTCTACACATGCGCACCCAACAAAACGTCCCCTGATAGAAGAAGAAGGGCGGCTTTGTTTATTGTGTTTGGCCGGAAAACGTGATATAGAGAAGAAGAGTGTGTTCAACATCTTAACAAGAACAGAACGAGGAATGAAGTGCAAACATCAAGAAAGTCATACAGACTATAAAACAAGTGTCCTGTTTACTTTTCTGCAGTCAGCACACTTGCAGAATCAGTAGAATCCTGGACAAGGAAGTGAAGACTAGTCAACTTTGACGAGCTGTGTTACAAGAGATCAGCTGTTTCTGGCTTTTCTAGCTTTCTGCTGAACAGATAAAAAACAGTTCATTACTCTGAAGTACACAAGTTGTTTGGGGGTCATCAGGGTGGATGGCGGGGATACAAAGTGCAGGGTTTTGACACCGGAGACGTGTTTACACCCTAAACCCTGTGTAGTCTAATGCAACAAAAAGGTTTTGGAGAAGAAAGCTTGTGGTTTCGGTTAAATGTTAATAAGTAAACAAGTCCGCGTCATGCTTCAAAGCTCTTCTGACTTTTTCAATATTTAAACAAATGTTCTGACTACCGAGTGCCTGAAAACACCACGCTTCAGTTTATTTCTTTCAAGTTAAAAAAACATCAGTGAATCAGTCGGAGAACGTTTGACAGATTTGAAATACTGTAAATGAAAATCTGACCTCATTCCACTGAGCATAAAAGAGCAGAAATGTAGCGTGCACCAGGCAGGACTGAGTTTTCCTCAAACAGTTGCAAATTAGATATGGAACTTTTTAGTAGCAGTCAGGCCAGCTTTGGGTCGGTGTTGCCCCTCATCAGCTCCAGAAATGACCAAAGTATAGTTGGGCCTTTTATAGTACATCATTTATCATGAGTCCAGCCTGAATCCAGGGCTGCTGGATTTACTGTGAGGTCAGAAGTAATTAACATCCACACATTGGTTAATTATTACATTAGGTATTTATAAATATGCAGTAGTTGGGGAAAACCTGTATCTTGATAAGGTGTACTGACTGTCTCAGTACACGGGATGGTAGGAGATGTCTAGTACTAGTATTAATCTTACCAAAAAAAATGCAAAGAGATCTGAGAAAAGAACAGGAACTGGGAAGATTCTGAAGGGCGATTTAGTAAATGTGGTTCACTGAGGCAGCACTTGGAGTAGAGTCACACTGTACGGAGCGTCTAAACTCAGGATATGACTCAAAAACTTGCTCAGTAATCTCACTTAGAGCTAAAAAAGGGAGATACCAGACTGTATTGTGACCTCATTTCTTTCAGCTCTTGTTACTAATCTCCTGAGTAAGTGTTATGATTCAGTGATACAGAAAAAAAAAAAAAGCATCTTTGGCAGTATTTGCTTCAACGTCAAGTGAGATGCTGTTTCATGACGGCCCCATGGCTGTGACACCCAATGGATGGAGGAAAAAGGGAATCAACCGAGAGGGTAAAAACATAAAGCTGGGTTTACATCGACAAAACAAGTTGCATGCGGTGACCCGAAGTTGGGTACGTAATCACATACAGTAGTTAACCCGGACGCTGAAATAATCAGTCTGTCAAGTCTACAAAGACGAAGATATTACAACGGTTGAATTAGTTTTAGCAGGCAAAAGGCAAAGTGTGACAAGAAGCACTCCTCTAAAGTGTTGTAAACTGTGTGTGTGTGTGTGTGTGTTTATCTCGACAACTGTACATCAAATCTGTGTCAAACTTGGTGGAGGTCGAATTTGAATGACATCACAGAGAATACAACATCTTCAAGAGTCAAGAGTGATGTGTTTTTGCACTAACGCGAGTACGGTATCATGAAAGTGTGAGCATGGGTTAAAAAAAGAATAAATAAATTAAACTTTAACTGAGGGTAAAATCACCAACATTTTTAAGTTGTGTTGATCAGATTTGACTGCTGACCCATGCAAGGAGGTTCCGGTCCTGGTGACACTACACCTACAGCTCTTTCAACGTCTCTTTTATCCTCTAACTCTTCACATGCTTCCATTATGCCTCTACTATGGGGATATTATTGCAGCAGAACTATGTGTAAACGTGTATGGAGGGTTGTGTGTCTGTAGTGAGATTTGTAAATGCGTACAAAGAT